AGTACAATGAAGTAATGAGCCAATGTTCAAGCCCTCAGGCCACACCAACACAATATCCAAAGTTGCTCTTCTCTGTCTGGCGCCCAGCGCCCTACCTACACCACTCGACTATCCTACCTACATCAACATTCTCGCAACAGGCTCACTTTGACTCTCGAAGACCAATGTACATGTCGTGAGCACCGTAGCCGACCTCTCTCATGTACTAGCTATGTATCTCGTTTCCCCTCATTAGAACTTGTCCACCCACACTCGCCTCCTTCCTGAAGACCAATGCCCTCTCACCCCCTAGCACTCTGCAACCCGGCTATGGCTGCTTGCGTTTCGCTGCCCAACATCGCCCCTCTTCACCACACACGTGTTATGATTCTGGTGTCTGGAGACCAACACTCACTCACATAGACTTATAGGTATGACCATACTTACACAGAAGGAAGGGGAGAGGATAGGAGTATCACACTGCAGAAGGAGAGAGAAACACAGTGGAAGGCTTGACCATGTGATATGACAAGGTACACTGAAAGTGCAATTCACTCCGCTCAATCCTCACAACCAGTCATAAAGGAAAGCCGAGTAGATCACATGTAGGAAACAATGAAACGATGGTAGTCCAAACCCAGTATCACACTGTTTATTGAACTCAGAGTCTCAAATTGTCAGAAAAACTTTAGAACTACAGTGTTTCTGAGCAGCGCTTCACTCCCCAACCCTAAGTAACCACTCGTGACACCCCTGAGTCCCTGAAACATCAAGCGCCACCCAATTACTGCCCTCAAAGAGCAGCGCCTCCCTGAAACAGGCCTCTGAGGCCAAGTGCCACTCAGAGGATGAAGAAGAAGACCAGCGCCACAGTATCTGATGATGACGTTGTGTCGGAAGACTTCTCGGGTGGAAGTCTGCAGCAGCGCCACCAAATCCTGACAAGATGACCGATGGGGAGAAAGTTGCAGCTATGTCTGCAGCGCCACAACCCTGTGACCCCACTCCGGAGGAGGGTCCAGCGGGGCACCAACTTCTCTCGCCTCCAGCAGACGTCAATAGCCCAGACCTCTGTTCAACTCCACGTGCTGACAGAGTACAATGCAGGTCCCAGCTATGGCCGACGCTCCAAAGGTCTGGCTATGTCCGTCTCCCACAGCGCTGAGCCGTCACCACTTACGGTTCATGTGTAGTGCAGGAGCGATGTACTCGGTACCAACTGCCAAAAGCCCTGAACCGATATGCCCCACCTATCTATAGTCTACTCTAGCCTAGACTTGACCTAGACTGGACTGACTGACTGACCGGTACCGTTTCTGTTTCGGCCTCTAGGTCCTCTCCCAACCCGGCTATAGGCTATAGGACCGTCTATCAGCTTAGCCTTTTAGGGCCTGTTTGTCCTAGGGTTAGCCCGGGTCTGCTATTCACAGTTAGGATATCTGTAGGAAATTCAGTTAGTACGGACTTGTATTTTCTCGTATTTACAGATATGTCCCTCACGAATTTTCCTTACAGGCAGGTCGCTCGGTTAGGCCTCAACCAAACAAAATTACGAATTTGTCCTACCTATGGTACAACCACGACAGAGAGAGGCTACAGCCGACCAGAAACAGCAAGTCATTGCAGACGTACCCTCCCCCGACGCAAGGATCTCCGAGCTAGGGGCGGAGGCGTGCAGAGCGTCAAAGGGATTCTCCCTTCCATGCTGCCCAATATCTGAGGATAACAGACTTGGCGGTTTTTAGAAGTTCCTTGCGAGTGAACCAACGATCTTCAGTATGAGGCTGGTACAAGAACTTTATAAGGTACTCCTTATCTGGACATGTACCTGACTCATCCTCCACAAATTCCACTTCATATCCCTTGCCAGGAATAGGGGACCGAACTGAGGAGGCCTGTCTGGAAATGCATTAGTAGATGTGAATGGCAGCAACTTAGATGCATGAAAGACAGGGTAGGAGGCCTGTCTGGAAATGCATCAGTAGATGTGAATGGCAGCAACTTAGATGCATGAAAGACAGGGTAGGTTTGTAGATGCAGAGGGACATCCATTGTATAGGATGGTCCAAATGGATCAACTCCCACTGTATCTAAGACCTGCCATGGACCCATGTATCGTGGCAGCGGCTTAGGCGAAATATCCTCCTCTCGTGACAACTTAGAACTGAGTACCCATACCCAGTCACCTGTTCGAATAGTAGAGGGGCGTGTGTGCTTGTTAGCCTGCTGAATCATAGCCTTTTGGGCTTTGAGCAGGTTGGCACAGGCGTGCGTAATGTCCACACGGTAATGCCTGGTGAACTCTGCAGTTCCATGTGTCACGTCGGTGTAGCCATATCGATGATGTCATCGAGAGGCTGCCGTGGCTCACGACCCCAATGTAACCGGTAGGGTGTAAAGCTTGTGGAGGAGTGTACATACGTGTTATATACAAGTTGTGCACGACCCAAATGGAGATCCTTGTCCTGCTGATCTGGACTGATCACAGGACGCAACAACTGAATAAAATCTGGTTCATCACTTCAGCCTGTCCATTGGATCCAGGATGACGACCAAATGTCATATCCAGTTTGGAATGAAGGTAATCCCTGCAGAAGGATTGCCATTCATTGCGTCAAAAACGAGGATCTCGGTCACCGACTATAGAGGTGGGTGGTCCATGATCTGTGACCCACCTGTCATCAAATGCCGCCTTGACGGCTGGAACGCGAGCCTCAACTGGTAAGGGGATTAACTCTGCGTATTTGGAGAAACGATCCACATAGACCATGACATGACGCATCCCATGAGGAGTGGTCCTACCCAAGTGAGTAAAATCAATGGACACTGACTGTGTAGGAGCATCTGGGATAGGTAGTGGTTTGAGTAGGCCAAGGAGAGGTCGGCGTACCACCTTATTCCTTTGGCATAACTCACAGGTTTCCACATAGCGCAACATGTCACTCCTCATCTCCTTCCAGAAAAAGTGTTGCGACAGGGCTGCATACGATTTGATGGCTCCAAAGTGACCACGATCATCATGACACTCTTGACATCAGGAGAGTTCTCAGCTTGCGGTCTTGGGGAATGCACAAGCGTTCCTCACCTCTGCTGCAAGTATACAGCAAGTCTGAAACCAGAGTATATCTTGGTTCAGATGCAGGATCATCCTGGAGATTCCTCACTATAGGCCCAAAAAGCGCATCCTGGGCAGTAACCGGGCAATGGTTTGACGAGTCTTATCTCCAAATGAGTGAGTGAGGGAGATGAAGAAGAGTGTCAGGCCTACTAGAAGGGGCAGCAACTACTCGATTGTAGCAGCCCTTCTTGTGTCTCAGTTCAAAGTCAAACATGTCAATGAACTGAATATAGCGAGCAAGCTTGTCATTTAGTTCTCCCTGGGACTTCATCCACTGTAGGGTGGAATGATATGAGAAGATCTTGAAGTGCCTGCCAAGGAGAAAATGCTTCCAATGCTTGAGCGCTGACACAAGAGCATAAAACTCTTTCTCATAGGTAGAGTCCTGCAAATTTTTTGTTTTGATCTTCTTGCTCATGTATTCGATAGGCTGCAGACCATTCCCATCATCCTATTGAAGTATCGCCCCTACACCATACTGACTCACATCTGTGGTAAGCACAAAAGGGAAGGTAGGGTCAGGTAACTTCAAAACAGGGGCCCGAATCAAGGCCTCCTTGAGACGTGTGAAAGCCTCCTGGCACTCTGATGTCCAAAGAAAGGAAGTGTCTTTCTTTGTGAGATCAGTCAAGGGAGCTGCGATAAAAGAGAAGTTCTGAATGAACTTCCTGTAATAAGATGCAAACCCTAAGAATGACCGGACATCACAAATGTTAGCAGGTCTAGACCAGTGTTGAACTGCAGCAACTTTCGTTGCTTCAGGAGCTCACCCGTCTTCGAAAATGACGTGTCCCAGATAGATCACAGAGGGAACCCCCAAAGAGGATTTATCCCTGTTAATCTTATATTGGTTATTATGTAAGGCCTGGAGGACCAGAGCCAGATGTTGCGCATGCTCTTGGGCAGATCGATTGAATACCAGAATATCATCCAAGTAGACAACTACAAATCTATCCAAGTAAAGTATGAGTATGCGATGCATCTCTGTCTGGAAGGTGTCGGGGCATTGCAAAGATCGAATGGCATGACCAGGTACTCATAAGTACTATACCTGGTCTTGAAGGCTATCTTGTGAACATCGCCTTCAACCATCTCAATCTGGTGGTAGCCAAATTTGAGATCGATCTTGCTAAAAATGGTACAGCCCTGCACCATATCCAACAAATCGTCAATGCGAGGAAGGGGCTCTGTAGACTTCCTCGTGATTTTGTTGAGACCTCTATAGTCCACGCACATCCTGAACTCACCATTCCCCTTTGGAACAAAGAGGACTGGTGCCCCAAACTCAGGTGTGATGGGCCGGATCCAGCCTTTGCTGGTTAGGGTCTCCAACCGTTTCCTGAGCTCATCAACTTTAGCAGGTAACATCCTGTAGACTCGGCCCTTGGGAGGGACCGAACTAGGCAGGATCTCAATCTTATGTTTGGTTTGCCTATGGACAAGTCCAGTAAGCTCTTCCATAAGATCTGAGAAGCGGTCGACAACCTGCTGAATTCGAGAGGGACAGGGAGCAGTTTCCACATCAGTCTGTTTGACATAGGCCACAAACAGACGGGTGTGGTAAGTCTGGCGCGAGAAATGTAGAAATCTGCGAGCACTCATGCAGTAACAGCTGCTGGCCGGATGATACTCATTAGCGAGTATACAAGGGCGATAAACCCCATGCCGATCAGGTAACTCAACCTTAAGGATCCGCCAGTCGACCCTATGATTGGTGGCACCAAGCCACTGCATACAGAAGACGAGGTCAAAGGGAACATTAGAAAACACAAAGAAATTCAGGCGATGCCTGATTTCTCCCTACTTGTCGAAGGTCAAAGGCAGACCCTTGACAACAGTAATGATCCTGACTGTGGAATAGTCACCAATGCGAACCTCTATAGGCTGTTGCAATTTCACTGACCTCTGATCGAAGTGCAACTTGCTGACTGCCTTGGGAGATATGAAGTTGCGAGTAGCCCCACAGTCTAAGAGCCCTTTGATCTTGGCTCCCAAGATAGAGGGTCGAAGCAGGATGAGTTCTGACGTATGCTTTTGCTTCTCCTGCAAGGACAGGAAAAGGTCAGCAAGGCACTGAGCATCATACTCCTCCCACGTCTCATCCAACTCGAAGTCTTCAAAAGTGAAAAACCCCGGAGGTGCAACTCCAACGATAGAAGAACCAGTGAGAGAGTGTGAAGATTCACCTTCATCAGAAGGGGACTCAACACTGGTGGAAAGAGTTGCTGCTTCCACCTCTCTCTGCTCTAGTTTTTTGAACTAGAGTTGTCTGTAGACCAGCGAGGCATGCTGGGACAGTCCTTTAAGAAATGCCCCCCCTCAAATCTCAGGCAAGTACCCTTGTCCTTTCTCTTCCTCCACACCCCCTCCTGGATCTCGAGTGGATGGCAGGGGAAGGTGAAAGGATCAAGGGGGTCAGTTGGCCAACGGACGTCACATGGTAGTGGTACTCTCTGGGCACCAGGGGAAGGGGCACGTCCCTTACCTTTCCCCTTGCTGCTCGTTGGTGCTTTCTGGGCTGGGGCCTTGCTCTTAGTCAGGCCCATCAAAGCATCAATCAGGGCAAGAACAGCAGGATCTGCAGTAGATGATGAAGCAGTTACATATGGAGGGGTCCCACCTTGGGATGTTGCACCACTATCTGAACTAGACGCCGCAGTGGCAAACAGGGCACCCTTCGTCCTTCGACGCCCCTTTGAGGAGGGTCCCTTCCTTCCTTCAGAAGGTGCTTCCTGGACATGGAGTTCAGACTCCAAGTCTAGGGCTGCTCTGCCGAAGGACCGTGAGTCCTTGCGGCCCTGAGAGAATAATGCAAGCTTGTATTGCTGAGGCGCTGCACGCAAGAAATGAATGAGCAGGTCCTGCTCACCTATTTCTAAGCCTGAAATCGATGTTAGACTCTCAAAAGTAGAATAGAGTTTGGACAAGGAGCCATCAAATTTCTTTTGGCCCAGACGCAAAATTTTGTCTGCTGCCTTCCGGGCCTGCTCCTTGTCTGCAAACCTATCCTGCAGGGCCTGTAGAAACTAACCACCCCCAACCTCGGAGCCCAATCAGACATCTCCATCTCCTGCTTGCTGAAAGTGGAGGTGCACCATTTCAGTGCAGTTCTCTCCAGACGCGCGAGGATAGCAGACACCTTGACATCCTCATCACATTTGAACCCACTCAGGTAGGTTCTTTGAGCAGTGACCCAATTTGCAACATCCATCTTTGGGTCCTCGCCAGAGGACATAGGTGGAGGGGTCAACTTGGGCCGTTGAAAATCAAATGGTGGTGAGGGCTGTGAAGGTGCTGTTGATTTGGGAGTAGAGGGAGGAGATGTGTGTCTGGATTGTGGGGGTGATGAAGGTTTCCCTTGAGAAGGTCCAGGAGAAGGAGGGACTGTCAGAGTGGTACGGATCTTTAAATGCGTAAAGATCAGATCCAGTTTGGCAGAGATGTCATCCAACTTTTTGGAAAAAGTTGAGTGGCTACTTTTCAGATTGGTGATCCTATCATCCCAGTTAGTAAAATAAGAACGGTGAATATCATCCTGCAAGAGGATGAATTCAGCCATGTCCTTGTTGTACTGACTGAAACTACTTGTTTTGATTTTCTCAATATCTACAATTAACAACTTTCTCCTGGCCTCTTTCTGAGTTTCTTCTTTCTTCTTCAACTCACCCTTCAGGGACTCAATTGCCTGTGCCTGCTGGCGGAGTTTCTTCTCCTGAGGCCGCAGTTCAGCCTCTAACGGGCCAACCGATATCTGAGGCTTCGCATCAGAAGCTTCTCCCTTCTCAGCATCTGCCATTTTAATTTATCCCACAATTCAGATAAAATAAAATAAACAAATAAACGAAGAGAGATAGGAGGTAAGAAGAGTTGAATTTTCTCTACAGTACTCGTCCAACTACTGCCACCTGACTGAAGAGAGTAAGTCGGTTAGTCTGAGCAAGTGAGTGCTCAGCCTCCGCAGACCGCCTGAGGGTCAGGGTCAATTTAGAGTACACTCAACAAAAATCCATTTCACGATTTTTCCATCACTGCCCTGAACCAACAATTGCACGCAATAATTGCAAATCTTGCATCAATTACCGACAGGATGCAGTCTTGGACTGATTAGGTTGATTAGTAGTTAGACAAAGTGACTAATTAGGGATGGACAGGCGTCCACTGATAACCAAGATGCAGCGATTTATAGGTAATTCTATTTTTAGACCTACCCTATAGAGTTCACCATTGTAAGACCCTGTATGCCATGCCCTGGGTATGGCGGATTACAGTTTTCACTGTAACCGACTCATAACCTCAAATCTGGATGTGCGATTTGAGAGAGACACTGTATACTGAATTGCGATTTACCAGGGGTTGACAAAATTGAATTCTGACGGACAAAATCACAGTTATGATTTACCCTATTTGAGCCAAGCTTCATCTATGGCAGCACATAATTCAAATTTCCATTATCACTGACAACAGGATCCTGAACAGATCAATTCACTACACAGGATGAATCTCAATACTGTAGCCAAACAAGGTTAGTAGGAGTCAAAGATGATAGGTAGGGGAAGTTAGATATGGCTGTCCCATAGTTTGAATTTCAATTTTCAACTGTAAATGGACATACAAACCAAATTTCGTTATTCTAAAAATAGCCCCAGAATCGCCACACAGGGTGGAGTAAGGAAACACACTTCAGGGTCAACTTTGAAGAAGACGAGTGAAACTCTAACTATGGTTGTCTGATCAACACCCTCTCTCCAGTTTCATCTCCTGCGATTCCCAGTGTTCCCACGTACCAAATCTCTTGAAACTTGGTGATCCAGTAGGTAAGCCTAAGGCGCTTCACCCCCAACTGACATGTTCACCAAATTTGGACTCCTAGGTGCAGATAACTGACAAATTCATTGCAACGCCACATCACCCTGTATTGCGCTGCTGGGAAATTGGGGATCCTGACCCAATTCCACATTCGCAACCTCTTGGGATCACTTCCTTGTTAGTCGTCAGTCTCCAGATGAATCGCCAGGCTAAAAATAGCCTCTCAGAGCCTCTAAGGCCTATGAGCACCAATCGCCAACCACTCCTGCACAACCCTAATCAGGAGTGAATTACCCTCTGTCCAATTCTTCTCGCCAGAGTGGTGCGTTTCGCTCCGCCCTGTTATTGCCCTCCAACACCCGTTTGTGGGTGGTGGTCTTCGTTTCCCTGAAAACGACACGTAAGGTCGTCCCTCCTGTTTGTGTGGTCGCCGCCTTCCRTTCGCTCCCATCAGCTTGAGGTGGGCTTGCGGTTAGGGGTGTCGGCCTCGAGCTGTGGAGGTACGTCGGGCCTTGCCTTTTGATCTCAGGTCGGGCGGGAGCACCCGCCCAATTTAAGCATATAACTAAGYGGAGGAAGAGAAACCAACGAGGATTCCCTTGGCAGGGGCGAGCGAACCGGGAATAGCCCAGACTGAAAATCCGGGGGCTGTGTTGCTCCTTGAATTGCCACACACTCACCACCACCACCCTTACTGACAACAAACTGACAACAGCCGTGAAGATGATGAATCGCCATGAAACTAAACTCCAGTATCTTGCCATATGGTCATGGTTGCTCCAACTCATCAATCGTTCCAGAGCCTGGATCCAATTGCTCCGATACGAACTGTTATGATTTTGGTTGTCTATTGTCTGGAGACTAACCCTCCCTCACATAGACTTCCAGGTATGCCCATACGTACATAGAAGGAAGGGGAGAGGATAGGAGTATGACACCGCACAGGGAGAGATGAACATGACAAAGACTTGCCCATGTGATATGACAGGGCACACTGAAAGTGCAATTCACTGCACTCAGTTCTCATAACCAGTCATAAAGGAAAGCCGAGTAGATCATATCCAGGAAACAATGAAACGATGGTAGTCCAAACCCAGTATCACACTATTTATTGAACTAAGAGTCTCGAATTGTCAGAATAACTTCAAACCTAGAGTGTTTGTGAGCAGCGCTTCACTCCCCAACCTTGAGTAACCACTCGTGACACCCTTGAGCCCCAGAAACATCAAGCGCCACTCAATTACTGCCCCCAGAGAGCAGTGCCACCTTGAAACAGGCCTCTGAGGCCAAGCGCCACTCAGAGGATGAAGAAGAAGACTAGCGCCACAGTATCTGAAGATGACGAAGTGTCGCAAGACGTCTCAGGGGAAGTCTGCAGCAGTGCCACCAAATCCTGACAAGATGACCTATGAGAAGAAAGCTGCAGCTATGGCTGCAGCGCCACAACCCTGTGACCCCACTCCGAAGGAGGGTCCAGCAGGGCACCAACTTCTCTCGCCTCCAGGAGACCTCAATAGCCCATACCTCTGTTCAGCCCCGCGTGCTGACAGAGTACAGCGCAGGTCCTAGCTATGGCCGACGGTCCGAAGGTCTGGCTATGTCTCTCCCACAATGCTGAGCCGTCACGACTTCCGGTTCAAGCGTAGCGCTGCAGCGATGTACTCGGTATCAACTGCCAAAAACCCTGAACCGATGTGCCCCACCTATCTATAGTCTGCTCTATGGAAGGTGAAAAGGAGAACTGACATAAGTGCATGGGTCCTGGGGACCAACTCACGCAGATGTGCATACATCAAACATCGTCTTCACACTCAATGGACACAGTTGCCACACACGAGACAAAGGTAGATGAGAATAGGACC